GTCAGGGGTCCAGTCCTGGGGCGTCAACTCCCGAAAAGTGCCTGCTCTCTTGTGACTACCAGCAGCTTTCACTGAGCGTTTCTGACCAGCAGTTAAGTTGAATAAGGGTCTGGCAATGCGTGAGCAATTTGGAATGAAGGATTGGTAGTACAGGACCATACCAAGAAACGATCTGATCTTTTTTTGTGAAGGTGTGATTTTGTTTTCTTTCATTAAGTCCTCCTTTTGAAAAGCAGAGATGACTTTAACTTTCTCCTCATCAACTGAAACACCAGTACCATCTATCACATGGCCCAGAAACTTTACAGATTTTCTCAGGAAGTGACACTTTTTAGGTGCAAGCTTCAAATTGCTGGTTCTCAAACGAGAAAACACTATCTCCAAACGCTTCAATGCCTCCTCTTCAGAAGGTGCAAAGACCAACAAGTCATCCAGATAACAGAGCAGAGTGGAAAAGTTAAGGTCTCCAAAAATGCTGAGCATCATGCGCATGAAAGAAGCAGGGCTATTGCAAAGACCTTGAGGAAGACGGTTATACTCATACAAGCCCATAGGTGTTGTGAAGGCAGTGTATCGTCGGTCAGACACATGGAGTGGGATGTTGTAAAATCCTGAAGTTAAGTCCATGGTGCTGAAAAGGGCATTACCACCCAAGGCTGCGAGACAGTCAGCTTGATGGGGTAGAGGGTGGGCGTCTTTGATGGTTTTAGCGTTGAGCCAGCGAAAATCAGTGCAGACCCTCAGATTACCGTCTTTTTTCCAGACCATCACCAAGGGTGACGCATACTCACTGACAGACTTGCTGATTATGCTTTTCTCCTCCATTTCTGACAACACTTCTCTCAATTTTTGATAGTGGGCAGGTGGGATGCGGCGATAGGGCAGACGGAATGGACGCTCATCATAAAGATGGATCCTGTGCACAAAGTCCTTTGTCTCTCCACAATCCAGCTTGTCCTTTGAGAAAACATCATGGTAGGATACAAGAAGATCCGTCAATTTCCTCTTACACATCCCAGAGACTTCACATCCATCAATGTCAATTTCGTTAAGACCAAGATCCTTCAACGGCTGTGCTGGATTAACGGATGAGTCAGTAATGTGTGGATTTGAATCAGGAACATCACATTGAGTTCTGCTCAGACCCTGCATGACAGGAAAATCCTCCACGGCTAGACAGGAAGAAACATCAGCCACTTTAGTGTTACGGCGAAGCGACACTGATATTGGGTTTGGGTTCACTATCTTCATTGGCACCCATCGATCACCCCACATCGGTGTTACTACGCGTCCGACAAGAATGTTTTTAGGAGCTGAACGTGCCGTGGTTGGCTCAACAATTACAGTACTTCCTGGGGAAACAGGTACATTAGCTGGCAATTTGCCCCAAACAAGATACTCACATTTGGGAAGCAGAGTTATTGCCTGACGGAGTTTTACAGTCCCAAGTTTATCAGGTTGTTGAGGCCCAGACCATCGGGAGATGCAGCTCAGAAGCTCAAGGAATTGCTCACACTCAGGATTACTGTTCTTGCAGGAAACAAGCTCCCAGTACTTGTCATGCGATTTCATCTTCTGCACGACACATTTGATCACATTACTTCCTATTATGAACTCATCTCTTTGTCCAGGCACCACAAGGGTGGGAACGACAAACTTGAATCCATAGACTTCAATCTCCAAGTCGTATGAACACTTCGGCTGAATCGTAAGGCCACCACAGCCAACCAGGACCACATTACCCGCAACAGTTTGAGGATACGGAAGAAGACCATCAGCTTGCAGCTTGGACTCACCCTCTTCACTAAGCGTGCAGGCCATACTACCAGAATCCAGCAACCCCTTTAATGTGCACCGGTCACAGACTGTCACAGGAGCATAAAACAACTCACTTGCCCCATCAACTCTCTGAGACCCCACATATAACACGGTTTTGTCTTCTGGAAATAGTTTGCAACTGTTAGCAAAAACATTTTGCACATCTTCTGTGAGGGAGGTTTTACTTAAATTGCCCATGCTACCCCTCTCATCGCATGGGCTCTTCAGTTTAACTGAGCAGTATCTGAGGGAGATGCAAGGCATGCTGCTTTAGGACAGTCACTCTTAAAGTGGCCAGGACTGAAACAGAGACGACACAGCCTTTGGCGTCTACAATGTTCATACGTTGTGTGTTCCTTGGATCTACAGACCCTACATGCAGTGCTCAAGTTGGTTTTGAAATCTGGAGTCTTGCCTGGGTGAACCTGACTGGGTGAAGTTAAAGAGGCAGTGCACAAAGACAGGACTCGATCCATCATGCCAACAATGTGCTGAAGGCTGGTATCTGGAGAGAAGGGAACAGCATATGGATTAAGAGGACTCACCGGAGTCAGTGACTGGGCTGGCATAGAAACTGGCTGCTGAGGAGAACTGGTCATGGAAACAGGCTGAGGAAGAGAACTAGGCACATTATTGGGGCCTGCCATAACAGTGCACTGGTTGCTAGCTGACAAGGACATTGCGTGCTGCTTCCTTGAGGAGACTCTCTTTAGATCCCTCTGATGACTATCCAAGCGCTCCTGGACCTCAGCAGCGCTCCACTTCTCTGCTGGCTTAAACTGAAAAGACAAAGCAAGACTCGGGTCCGGGCAATGAGAAATAAACATCATGACTGCTTCAGCAGCGGGATCCTCAACACTCTTATTGTGTCTGCGCAAGCACTCATCAGCAACATCTATGGACTTGTTAAGCCGTATCCAGTAATCCATGGGACTTTCATCTGCTCTAGGGACGGTGTTATAGAAGTCAGCCATGGGCATGTTAGAGTAAGACAACTCACTGAAGTTGCGTTTCAGTATGTCAAACACTGCACTTGGGAACTTACTGGCACTCAGTTCGGGGCGGCTTCGCAGGGACACTTTAACCACATCTCTCGCTTTGCCAGCCAATCTGCTCAGGATGAGATCAGAGACATCAGTTTGCGTTCGGCATTTCATTCTGTTCAAATAACTGTACATCATATCTTCCCACTCGTGCACAGTAAATGAATCACTCTTATCTCCCCTGAAGAATGGTGGTGGTGGTGCATCTTGCTGTACTATCACTTTGAGGCTAGATTTATCAATGCCATCACTTGAATGCTGAGAATGACAGGGTGGATTAGACTGTACTGGGCTGGGCTGGTGCGCAAGGTTAAGGCTGGCTGAAATACTCTCTCCTATTTTCTGAGCCAGATCTGAAATGATACCCCCTAACGACTCAGGAGTAACAACACGATCAAAGTCAGGTTGTATGATTGGGGTGGAGCTAGCAGCTGGACCTACAGAAAAACCAATTGCTGAATCGGTTGTGTGCACACGGTCAAGTCCCAAATTAGCTAATGCTCTCCCTCTCCCATAGCAACGTGTAAATTCAGACACACCCTCATTTTCATAAATTTCAGGCCCATGACCTCTTCCCAGTGGAAAAGTGACATTAGAATTTTTCACAGGACTAAAATCATCTTTGCTAGGACCCTCAGACATGTTTCAATTTGTGAAATGAAACAGGAAAGGAAAAAATATATATATATGCAAAAATAAGAGCAAATTATCTGCACAAGAGCAAAACCTCAACTGTTGAACAGTTCAAATATGCAGAGAAATACAAGATATCAAATGTTTTAACTGTTCACTTTCAAAATTCACAGTGAAAATAAAATATATACTTCATCAAAATCAATTGTACACTTTATCTTGTTTAAAATTCCTCACAGTCATTTATTATAGTGTATAGATAAAGGATACGATGCATGACGTAAACTGAAGCGTCCCGCAGTGCTTTTCACAGTCTTCGTCGTTCAATATACAACGACCAACGAAAGCGCTCCAGAGAAAGAAGGGAAAAAAAAAGTTTCAGGAGTCAACAACCGTTTACCGTTCCTTTAAGACGCAACAGTTCGTCCCGCGATGTCGCACACTGTTCGTCTCACACACGCGCCCTCCTCGTGCGCGAGCTGGAGCCTCCACGAGCAATGGCGATGAGGAAGAAGTTCGGCGAGGAAGATCTGCGAAGCGTGCGAGCCGTCACGCAACCACGGCGATCGGCGAAGCGCTGATCTGATGATCCGAAATGATCACGGCACCAAGTGTAACTGGTCTCTTTTCTGCGTTGTGTTTTTCATTCACGTGGGAAGAACAGGACAGGACTCACTCAGCAGTTTCAGCGATCTTTTATTCTGATGCACAAATAAGATGTAATCAGCCTCTTAGTGAGAATCGCCCTCTCTAGCTCTCTCACTGCATCACCAGTGCAAAGAGGAAGAATCACAATAAAATGCATATAAAACATAAACGTATAACAGAAGACATACCTGATGCACAAATAAGATGTAATCAGCCTCTTAGTGAGAATCGCCCTCTCTAGCTCTATAAAACAAATGTGATGTACACTTGTCACACGTGCTCTCATTTCACCTTTAGGCCCAGATGTTAAAACATCACTTAATCGGGACAAAATTACGGAAATAGCCACACAGATAAGTAAAATAACATTATACACAGGAATTAGATTGAAAATTTAGACATAAAAGCAACAATTAAGATTACGATTAAATATGATTATCAGGAGCCTAAAATAACCTCACCTCTCACTGCATCACCAGTGCAAAGAGGAAGAGGAGGAGACAGAACAGGAAATTATATTGACTCATGACATCACATCAATTAAAGGGAAAGACACTCGACTCCACTTAGGCAGTAATATCAGGTATATGTCAACAAACAATTTTGTGGGAATTCTAATAAACTATAAATACATTTAACAGTACACTTTATGTACCTGTTACATCTCTCTCTCTCTCTCTCTCTCTCTCTCTCTCTTTCTCTATATATATGTATGTGTGTTGTGTGTGTGTAATTAAAATATTTTATAATAAAAATACATAATTTATATTAAATAAAAATAATATGAATTTAAATATATTATATAAATATGTAACATGCCTATTAATACAACTCTACCACTGTTTTCTCCTTCTGTAGGCAGAACGTGAGGAGTGGCAGCAATTCCAGTCTGACCTGAAGGTGGCGCTAGTGGTTTCAGACAGACTGAGGGCAGAATCTGAGGAAGAGCTATGTTCTTTAAGAGCAACAATGCAGGACATGGGCACACAGCTAGCCGATGCCTTACAGGGTCGCGAGGAGTTCAAAAGTCAATTAGAGAGCCTCAGAGTTGAACTGGAGCAGAGCAAACAGGAATTGAAGCAGGTCACAGGCAGCCACCAGGGGGCGCCGGTACTGAGGGGCCTAGAGAGACGAGTGGAGGGTTACGAAAAGAGCACTGGACCCCAAGAGCAACTGTGGACAGATGAGATTAAAGGGAAAAGAGAAATTCGCATCTCTGGTACTGCAGAGAGGTCAAGGTTAGTATTATCCAGGATTCAAAATGTCAAAAATTTTGAAAAATGGATCCTAAACACACAAAGGCTAAAGCTTTGAGATCAAATAAATGTGAATTATAAAAGTTTAATATAATGTAAACTGGTTATACTTTACAATAAGGTCCCATTAGTTATCTTTAGTTAATGTCAATGTACCTTTTAGCTGTTTTTCCTCTTTGCTGGTGTTTCGGTTGTGAATGACTCTGTCTACATCCGAAATAATTGCATACTTTCCTACTATATAGTAGGCGAAAAACAGTATGTGACAAAAGAAGTATGTCCGAATTCACTAGTCATAAAACAGTAAACAAAAAGTTCCCAGAAGGCCTACTTCTTCCAGCGAGGTTCAGAAGTGTGCAAATGGACACTTTACTATCCCATGAGCCAACGGGAGAGGATTTGTGAATGGCCAAAGTCCCTTTCAAGGATTGATGTAACAGTCACAGAATAAAGCAAGATCTGACCGAGCTTTGTGGGTGATCTGAATCAAAAGATTCATGTAAATTTAAAATGAATAAAAATCCTCAATTTTAGCTCTTTAGGCTTTCTTTGAACATGTAGTAGTTTGTAATTCGAGGTAATGGATCTGTTTCGTCTGAACTTGTTTGAATGGAGTCGATTCGCCTAAGTGGAATCGATTCCCACCTTTGGAATCTACAGTGCTCTCTCTCACTTCCCAACTGAATCAAAGAATCAGTTTCGATTCAGTCTTAATCAAGCTTGTCTGTTCATCGAGTGAGTCATTCCATTTTGAATCAATGCACATTCTGTAATGCATGCTGTAGACATATCTGATTTGAGAGTATTGTTTAGTGTTTCTAAATGATTCATTGTTTACAGCCCACAGTCTGTCAAAGAGACCTATGTTACATTCATGGATCATTCCATCATTTTGCAGGAGCCTGTGCAGACTGCCCTCCAATTGCCCTGATGTTGTTGTAAATGGTACTTCCCAACCCTTCATGGCTATGACAACAGAATCTGTGAGTAAAAAAAAGTAAAACATAATCCTTTTTTTTTTTTGTTGCTATTTTCAGTTTTTTATGAATACATGTGAAATATTTACTCACTCCTCAGAGCAAGACTCAAGCAGTAAGTTTAGAGAGTCAGAGCAACATGACCAGCTCCATTAAAGGTATCAAAACAGAGGTTTTATTGGCTCAATATCCTGTTTCATTGAATATTTGACTAATACGGACACAAATGATTTATTGTGCGTGTCTGTGCATGTCTAACAGACAAGAAAGTGGAGAATTCACAACTACAAACATGCAACTCTTCAGGTTTAGATGTGACAAATAAGATCAACAGGACAAGGTGAATCAAACACCATTATCTCTTTTTCCATTACCATTCATTCATGAGAAACACTGGAATGATGTTTGATGTGGAATGATGAGTCAAATAATAGAGAATTGACATCCATCTCCTTTCCCATCAGGACACAGGAGGATTTCCCATCAGGACTCAGGTCGCTGAGGCTTCATGGAAGTTCTAGGCGGAACTCCCTGCTTCGCTGGAGTCAAGGCAGAACTCAGGGATACAAGGTACTGAATTGAACCAAACTAGACGATATAGCTGACAGATCAAACTTGGCAGTCAGCCACACACCCCCTTGTCTCAGCCTTAGACAGCACAGACCACCCACAGTCCTTTCACTGGCCATCTGATGCACAGGCAACTCAGAAGCACTTTCTCAGTCTGGAAAGCCAGGAGTCTATCTCATAGGGATTTTTTTTTATTTATCAGTCTGCCTGCAAAAAAATAAAAGCCTCGGAAGTCTTGTTTACAAGTAACTGGGTTGAAACAACAAACACTATAAATAAAGAAATTGTCACTGGATTTCCTAAAGTGAAATTTTGGTTTTGTTTGAGGCTGTTAGTAACAAGATTAATACATTTATTCAGCTAAATTAATGTATTTATGTTTAAAGTAATATATTCAGCAAAGATGCATTGAATAAATCAAAGGTTACAGTAAAGATATTTATAATAATACTTAAAGTCTTTCTGTTTCAAATAAATGCTGTTCTTTAAGAATCTTGAACATATTTATCACAGTTTACATAAAAAATATGAATCAGGACAACTGTTTCAATATTAATAATAATAAGAAATGATTCTTGAGCACCAAATCAGCATATTAGAATGATTTCTTATACGGATCACGTGACACTGAAGACTGGAGTGATGATGCTGATGATTTAGCTTTGCCATTGCAGAAATGAATTAAATTTTAAAATATATTAAAATAGAAAACAGTTATTTTAAATTGTTTTCTATTTTATAATATACAGTAAATATAAATAAATAATATAAATATGTATTAACTGTTTTCACTGTATTTTTTTATCAAATAAATCCTCGGTGAGCATGAGACTTATTGCAAAAACAGTTTTGAAAAGTAGTGTATATGCATTTTCCACTGCCTTCTTTAATTGTATATGTGAAACAATAGGGATTCATGATTTTTATTATAGACAGGAATTGTCATCACAGAGTGTGAACATATTTGCTTCTATTGACCTTTTTTTTCTGTACAACCAATTCATTAAGACTGCCACACCATTGTTTAAATAAACTTTTTATACACAGGTCTATTATTGTGATGCACACTATAAAACCAAACAGCATGCAACAAAGACTAAACTAACTGTGGTTGGTCACTATATATCAACCACCCAAGTCTCTTCCTGTCTAAGTGGGTGGTTCTTGGCCAGAACAAATTTGAACAAAATTGTCCTGACTGATGTAAAATATTTGCCTGTCTCTCTATCATTCTGCTGCCTCCTGTCTTTCCTGCAGAATATAGAGATCACTAATTTCAGCAGTTGCTGGGTGGACGGTTTGGCCTTTTGTGCGATTTACCACAGTTACCTCCCCTCTCACATACCATATGTCAAACTCAGTCCAGAGAACAAGGTAATACACACATCTTATATATGCAAACATATTAGAAAAAGGGTTGTTATGATAATGATTTTATCCACAGAAAGAGAACCTGACGCTAGCATTCCAGACTGGAGAAGACTTTGGGATCTCTGCATCACTGGTGAGATGATGAGTTTTTTTCTAAGCTGTCATATTTAATTTCATAACTTAATCCTATAATTAATCCACCCTGATTCAGCCACCAAACTAACCAACCAATGCACAATTAATTAGTTCCAGCTTGAATCAAAAACATTCTGTCAGATTGACTTCAGAATATGCAAGACGTGAGAATGAAAAACTTGTCAGGCCAGATGTGAAAATGACTCGTGGTTGAATAGATATGAGAAAGATATGATTGATTAGGTATGTAATTGACTCAGAAATGAATGGCTGAACATGATAATTACTCAAAAATGATGAACTGGATATATAAATGCTTGGCTGAATGCATTAACTGATTGGCCTGATTCAAAAAACGACTCTGACATGATTCATTGGAATAATGCAAACATGAATGCAAACAGGATTTCATGTGGTTGTTCATTTGTGAATAATGTTTCATTCCTCAGACAGTGGAGGAGATGCTGAAAGATGATGCACCGGACTGGCACAGAGTTCTGGAATACGTAGAGCGCATCTACCAACATTTTGAGATGTGAGACTCTGTCTAGATACATGTCCTGATCACTTGCACAGTCATCACAAATGCTTTCAAATTTTCATTTTGGCCTTTGAAGTAGATCTGAAAGTTCATCTTTTGCTGCTGAATTTGTATTTGAGTTTGGCTGGTTAGCATGGCCCGCTAACCCTGCCATGTATTCTGACTTATTGCAAGCAACAGAACAAGTGAATTGCTTGTTTCATTACTGAAGGGCTCTTAAAAGTGTCAAATGAACTTAAAGGTGGCATGAGACAAAGGTTGCAATAGTCTTTCTATTGCAGTTATTATAAGTTATTGAGCTATTATTAGATTATTAGTGCACATGAATTAAAAATAATGAAATAAATAAATAATTATGTGCATGGATACGGCATTATACTGCAATGTTCCATAAAAATACAAGAATTGTCCATTTTTCATGGTGACTCTGTGCTTTCTTGTTGTGTCATTAATCAATCAATTGTTGTGCCATTAATCAAGCATTTACTGCTCAGTTAATTAGCTCATAATTGATGTGCCTAGAACTGAGAACACAAAACAAACAGGTTGCATACTTGTGGGGGTTCTGCATTCATCCCACTCAGATGAACTGGAATGCTATTTGATGTCCTAGTAGTATTATGGAGCTCCTGAGCAAAACTCCCAAAGAAGAGCGGCGTGTTTTGAGTTTGGTGAGGAGTGACCTGTTTTTATTATTGCTGCTTTCTGCCCTCTACTGGTTTTCATGTGGAACTTTTTTTTTATTCAGATACAACACGACATGAACTACGTTGTAAATCACAAATAACAGAAATCATTACTTCTGTATGTGTGCCATATTTTATTCTCTGTGATATTAAAAGTCTGGATAAGGAACAAAGCTGATTCATTCAGCGCCTGTAATATCCTGTTCTGTTACGTTGCGTAGGAAGTAAGATTTCAAAGACAATTATTAATAAATAACTATTTTTATTTATACTGTTTGTTTCATTGATCAATGAGGAGTGACGGCTTGGCAAAACTTTAGAGTGATGCGTAAGTGATTGAAAATGTGTGTAGGAACATGAATGAATTTACCTTATTTAAAAGTGTGGATGAAAGAGACCGGCGTCATCATAAATTCATAAATGGTTAACTGCACTTTACAGATTAATAGTCTCAAATGTTAGTAGAACAGAAATATACACACATTTGATTTCAGTATTTTTTTTTCTCTCTGGCACTCTTGGAAATGCATTCCTATTTACATATTCCTACATGCAATTTTTAGTTAAGTGGTCTTTGATGGATAAAAGTGACTCTTCCTGTTTTGAATTGAATGAATAAAGCAGTTGACTGACACATGATCATTGGACACGTCAGAATCATAGGTCAGAATGAAAGTTGTGTGCGTAAGGGAAAATATTTCACCTTTGAGGAAAGAACTGTTTTCATAATACAAGTCATTGTGGCATAATTAATCAAAGCTACTTCATGTTGGTACTGTAAATTAATGTGTGTGTGTGTGTGTGTGTGTGTGTGTGTGTGTGTGTGTGTGTGTGTGTGTGTGTGTGTGTGTGTGTGTGTGTGTGTGTGTGTGTGTGTGTGTGTGTGTGTGTGTGTGTGTGTGTGTGTGTGTGTGTGTACTGCTATATATACCACTACTGATTCCTTTTGCCTTAGTCTATTTCTGTTTTGGGAGGTTTTGTATTGAATTGTATTTTACTTTTTCAATCTTTGTGATTTTTTTTTTTTTTTTTTTTTCATTTCTCCCTTGTTTTTTTTTTCTGAAAAAATGCAACAAAAATAATAAAGCTACAAAAAATGTACAACAATAAAAATGTTTCACAACATTAATACATTACATTTTTTCACACTATGGTTCAATGCTTCCCTTGATATACTTGATATATTTTTGTAATATATTTATTTGTAATATATTTATATAACTTTTTTTCTCCAAAGAACGCATTTTAATGAGCATATTCTTAGGAGGGCATTTACAGTTTTGGTTTACTGGACACTGATCTCCTGCTAAAGAACACTTAAATTCTGCATGGATGAATGAGTGATTGACAAAGACAGAAAGGTAGTTGAAAATGACAAATTTATTTAAAATATGAAAGACTTTTACTTTGAAAATGAATAACGCAGCACATGCATTAGCTGCTTCATAGACTTCTTCACGTATCTCTGAAACCAGGAAGCAAGAATGAATAAACCAAACAGACTCTGTAAACTCTCCCCGCCTGTCACCTGCGTGCTCTCCAATAACCCACACTGAACCGCATTCATCAGCATGGTGAGTGTAAATAGATATGAATGTGAACTGTTGTGTTATATTGTTTGTTTTGTTCTAGATCAGATATCTTACTTTCTTCCTTCGGACAGGTGACATTTACAGTCTGTTACTGTGTTTTTATATCAGTGCAGTCAGTGTATATCAGTGTAGTGAGGTTGATTTTAAAATTGATCTCTTGAAAGTTTTGGGAATCATTAGTGAGTTTTAAATGCAGTTGTGATTTGACCGTCATTGATGAATGAAAGAGCTCCATTCAAATACACTGAAACGGGCTGTTACTGGTGAAGGCAGAGCCACGTAGTGTAGGTACAGGCTGAGGAAGTATAGGACACACCTACATACCTGTTAACAATGATCCAGTAATTACATTCACCCTTGTATGTCTATCTTTCTGTCTGTGCTGAAGCCTCTCAACATGGGTCAGAAGATCTTGGTGACAGGAGGAGGTGGATACATTGGCAGCCACTGTGTTGTGGAGCTCATTGAGGCTGGTTATCACCCTGTGGTCATCGATAATTTCAGCAATGCTGTCAGAGGTAAAAAGATTTCTATAAATCACATTACACTGCTGAAGGTCCTTGGTAGAATCCTGAACACATTGCATTACAAAAAGTCTCAGAATATCCTACTCACACAGTGAGCCCATGTGTGGAATATATAAAGTCACTAAAAGTATTTTATTACAATATTAAATAGTTTACATAGTATTTATTTATAGTATTGAATATTTATATATTACATTTTGAAATTTAAATAAAAAAATATTGTTATAATATTGCTTGCTCTGCATTTTGGTTTGACAACTTCAGTTTCTTGTTATATATATTTTTAATGTATTTTTTTTAAATGTCCGTCGTTCTTTGTGGATGTGTGTTGTGTTGAGGAGAGGGTGATATTCCAGAGAGCTTGCGGAGGATAGAGAAGTTTCTGAACACTCAGATTGAGTTCCATGAGCTGGACCTTCTGGACAAACCGGGACTGGAGACAATATTTAAAAAGGTAAAAATGAACGCCTACTCTTGTTTGTATCAACGTATCCTGTATAATGGAAATCTATTCTTCATTTTGCTGTAATACATTGAGCCACATGTCTACTGTTTATATATACCCAAGTATTGGAAATGTGACATTACAAAGTGTAAATGTCACTCATTTTTATAAAGTTACAGTGTCCAACAGCGACACCCCCAGGTAAAGTTACATCAGAGCAGTCAGTTTGGGAAAATTAAAGCTAAGTCTTTGTCTGTGTGCAGTCTTGACTATTAACAAGAAAAGCTGAACATTAGTTTACAAATTTTAAATTGTTTCTGCCTTCAGTTATTTTGGATTAAATGTAAAAATGCATAAAAACACTACCTTGATTAAATTTATACTTGGTTTTAATAAATAGAACATTACATTGTGTAATACATAAAATATTAAATAGATTTTCCTAGTGGGAAAATATGAATTTCCTTGTAGAAAATTAATATAATTAATTGTCGTTGCTGAAGAAATTGGTCATGAACTCTCTCTCAAATCATATTTCACACTAAGACACTCAGACTTCCTAGTGAGAAAATACGAGTTTCCTAGTTGGAGAATTATTATTTCTCTTTTTTATATAACGTTTATTTAACCAGGAAAACTAAGTTTAACAGGGACATAAATTTACATTTGATATGTAAAAAATATGTGAGGACTGCACCACCGTCCACACCACTTATATGTATGTGTGTGTGCGTTTTCATTCATACTAGCATTTTCTTGATTCAAATCAATCTATTCATTTCTGTACCGAGCTGGTTAAATGTATAACAGCGTACCCTAATGGTTAAATGGTTTTTATTGTTTTCTCTCAGCACTCCTTCTATGCAGTGATGCACTTTGCTGGACTGAAGGCTGTGGGTGAATCAGTAGAGCAGCCTTTAAGATACTACAGAGTCAATCTCACAGGAACCATCAATCTGCTGGAGGTAAGAAATGTGAAAATGTAAATGTCTTTGCATGGAGAGTCCATTTGTATCTGATTCTTGAAATCCAAATTTAGTACAGTTAGGGGTCTGTTTGTTCATGTTAGTGCTTCCAGCTCTTAAGGAATGCCTTACTGGCTGTGGCTCTGTGTGTGTGTGTGAATCAGGTGATGCAGTCTCATGGGGTGCGTAATCTGGTATTCAGCAGTTCTGCCACCGTCTACGGAGACCCTCAGAAACTCCCCATTGATGAGCAGCATCCAGTGGGCGGCTGCACAAACCCCTATGGCAAGACCAAGTACTTCATTGAGGAAATGATCAGAGACCAGTGCACTGCAGATAAGGTAACTGACCGCTCTGTTATGACGCCTTTGTGTCTGTGTGGTAGGTGTGTAACTGATCAAATGTCTCGCAGGACTGGAATGCTGTGCTGCTCAGGTACTTCAATCCCATTGGTGCTCACATCTCAGGACAGATTGGTGAAGATCCTCAGGGAATCCCAAACAACCTTCTGCCTTATGTTGCCCAGGTAACCTGTCTGAGCACTTGAGGTTCAGAGGAGTCTCTGTGCATTGTAAAGGATGTTGTTCTTTCTCACTTTGTATGGCAGGTTGCTGTTGGAAGACGAAAACATCTGAATGTGTTTGGAAATGACTACAGCACACCTGATGGGACTGGTAATAAGAGATGGTTTTCAGCATTTTATTGTTGTCTTAATTAACATCTGTCTCTTATTTATTAATTTCTGGAGTTTTATACATTTCATATAAATGACATACATTTTGCAATCTATTACTTTTGAATAATAAATTAGTTTTTCATTCATATATTTACTTTTAATTGAAATAAAGCTGACATAAAATGTAAATATTAGATAGATAAACTTAAACTAAAAATGAAATTTAGAAAAGTTCCCTTTGGCATTTAACTGGAAAAATCAGTTTAATGTAAAGTACTAAAATGACTAAACTAAACTTAGGAGATAGAAATAGAAAATGTATTTGTTTTTTAAAATATGATCAAAATGACAAAGCACATAACAAAATTACTAAAACTTAAACTCAATTTAAAATGAAACTGAAAATATAAAAATGAAAGCTATTCCAAAATACGAATAAAATATTGTAACAGTATATAAATAATACTAAAATAACATTGATTGTTTTTTTCTGAATTTCTGTTTATTTAATCATTATTTTAATTTTAGTGCAGTCTAACTCTAGTATCATTTATCATTTTACTGAATGCAATTAAAATTCTCTGCAGTTTCTAATGTTTTTCTATTCAGTCAGAAGCATTTCAATGTTTAATGCAGAATGGTTGCAAAGGTTTCAAGTTTTATAATACCATGTTATGTTATTTTAGTTTGCTTTCTTTGTACTCATGAAAATTGTTTAGTTACAGTTTTTATTTCAGTTCATTTCGTTTCCATTTCGTGTTCCTATTCAAAACTGATTTACTCTTCCTGGCTAGGTGTGAGAGACTACATCCATGTTGTTGACTTGGCAAAGGGGCACATTGCTGCCATCAGGAAACTGAAGGACAGCTGTGGGTGTAAAGTACGACATTTTTTCATCCTCTTTGATGTACTATTTTTCACATCCCCTTTTCTCAGTTTTACCTTTCTGTCCTGGTCTCTGTGAAGGTTTATAACCTTGGCACAGGTACAGGTTACTCAGTGCTACAGATGGTGAATGCCATGGAAAAAGCTTCAGGTCGAAAGGTGAGTGGTAAACCTGCTGT